GTGGTGAATATAATAACCTTGTACATGAATATGAAGATGTATTTAAAGGGTTAGGCTGTTTACCTATGGAACACACTATTAAGCTTAAAGATAATGTAGAACCAATTGTTGAAGCATGTAGAAAGGTACCATTTGCATTACATGATAGGCTAACAGAAGAGTTGAAAAGGATGGAAAATAATAATTTCATATATAAAGTAACAGAGCCTACTGACTGGGTAAACTCATTAGTAGTTGTACATAAACCAAATGGTAAACTCAGAGTCTGCTTGGACCCCAGAAACTTAAATAAAAGAGAGCACTATAAGCGCCTAACAAAAGATGAATTTCAAGATTTAAAATATTCTCTAAATTTGATGCATCTCAAGGTTTCTGGCAAATGAAATTGAGTAAAGAAAACTCACAGCTCTGCACATTTAACCCCCCGATAGGAAGGTATAGATTTTTTAAGGTACCATATGGTATATCTTCTGCACCAGAAGTTTTTCATCGTACTATCAGTCAGTTATTTGAAGATATTCCCAATGTAGAAAAAAGTATAGATGACCTAATAGTGCATGCCGAGACGCAGGAGGAGAATGATAAATTGGTAATCTCAGTGTTAAAGAGATGTAAGGAAGTAGGGTTGAAGTTGAATAAAGAAAAATGTAAAATAGGGACAAGTGAGCTTGTAGTCCTGGGAGGCCTACTCACAAAGGATGGAGTTAAGCCAGACAAGGAAAAAGTTGAGGCCATAGGTAATATGGACAGACCAACAGATAAACAGAGCCTACAAAGATTCATGGGTATGATAAATTATCTAGGAAGACACATTCCAGATTTAGGCACAAAAACAGCACCACTAAGAAAGTTACTAGAGATAGATATTCATTGGTCATGGTTAGAACCACAAGAAATAGCTTGGAAAAGGTTAAAAGATGGCATATCTAGTGAACCGGTCTTGAAATACTATGACCCAGATAGAGAGATTTTGATTAGTAGTGATGCTAGTAAATCAGGTATAGGTTGTGTATTATTACAGAAATATGATGACCAGTGGTGTCCATTAGCGTATGGCTCAAGAGCCATGACAAACGCAGAATGCAATTACGGGCAAATAAAGAAAGAAACCCTGTGTATATGCACATGAGAGGTTCAATCAATATTTACATGGCCGAACGTACATGGTAGAGACCGATCATAGACCCATCGTTGCAATTTTCACTAAATCATTGGTAGATATACCCCCTAGACTTCATCGCATGCGGTTCAAATTACAAAAGTATGATTTTGGTTTGACATATACCCATTGGAAACACATGTACTGTGCTGATGTATTATTAAGAGCATATGGTAGTAAACACCAAGTTGTTAATAGTGATGTTGAAAAAACAAATTGAGGCTCATGTAGACGCTGTAATGGAAACAGTGCAAATGGTCTTGCAGAAAAGTATGTACAAATAGTAAAGAACATTTTCAGAAAGTGTGATTATACAGAAGAAGATCGGGAAATGGGACTATTGAATTACTGGTGCACTCCACTTTAATCAGGTTTGTCTCCTGCTGAATTAATGGGAAAAGTAATTAATTCTAATCTTCCATTCACACTACCAAGTAAATCAAAGTATAATAGAAAGATAATAGAAAGGGCAAAATAATAGACAGAAGTACTATCATGACAAAAGAGCTAAATCATTGTCTTCGCTTAATATCGGTAATGCTGTAAGAGTAAGAGAAGAGTCCAAGTCAGAATGGAAACACAAATGTGTTGTGCTAAGTAAAGTTGTACCGAGATCATACTTGGTGGAAACAGAAGGAGGATCAGTATTGCAAGGAAATCGCAGAGACTTGATAGAAACAAGTGAAATACCTATTGTAAAATCACAAGATCCAGAGAGTATCATAACACCCATAAACATGGCAACAGAAAAAACAGAAACAGTTAATTCAGATACACATGCAGAAATGAGTGATTCACAAAAACAAACAATTAATAACACAACAGTGGGTAATCAGGAGTACAACATAAATCAGAACACAAATCAATGTTCAGATATGGTAGAGTTTTTAAGAAGCCTAAAAGGTTGATTGAAGAATACTGAGTTGTATTGTTTATGTTGAGTTAAGAAAATCTTAATCTTAATTGCAAGTTAATTGAAAATGATTTGTGATTATATATGCTAATCATTAATTGATATGTGATTGTGTTGTTAAAGGATAATAATTATGTCAGTTGTATCACAACTATAGAAAAGGAAAGATGTAGCAGAATCATGTCTAGCTCTCTCTGTTATATAGAGGACTTTCTTGGGGTTGTAGTTGCTGAATAAAATGGCTACCATACCATGAGTTCGAGTCAGTCTAATTTATTAACGTAAAACAGTTATTTTAGACTTTAAATCAATACACGAGACATTACAGTTAGAGTTTCCAACAACAGACTGCTGCAATAGTTCTTATTATTAAGTCATTATTTTATTTATTAATGGCAGACATACCATGTAGGTATTCCTCCATGGACAGGCCTACAAGGTTGTAAAGGTATACTAGCGCAATAAGAATCAGGGAAATCAACTTGTGGTGGAGGAATGTTAGAGTGAGGTACGTTTCTACAGGGGTCCAGCTCAGATCCTGTAGCAGAAACAGTTAACCTACGTGCCAAGAATATTATAAACTAATTATTATAAAGATGGTGGTGGTACTGGTGATGATCATGATAATGATGATGATGATAATGATAAGGGAATGATGATGACGATGACGGTAATGATGACGATAATTATAATGATGACGACGACAATGACGTAATGATATTGACATAGGCGGTGGAATGTTTTAGTGATGGAAATACTAACGTAAACTAAAGTTTAAAGTTTTGTTTTATTTTAGTCTTATAATAGTAATACTTCCAGAAAGCGAAGCGATCCTTGAGGTGTTTAAAAACGCAGGACCCACAGTTCTAATGTTGTGGAAGACCACTTTGAAATATTTTTTATCCTTTTAATACGCCCCGATCAGAACGAACAAATACCAAGCTCAATTGTTACAACGGAGAACCTGGGACCAAAGGACACAGAGCGAGTCGAGTGGCCTAGCGGTAAGGCTGGGGCGCCGCTAGCTACAGCCTTAGCATCGGCGCTGGTTCCAGTTGGCGCTGGTTCCAGCCGCTCCTCGCCCATGGTTCGGTTGGTAGAACCCAGTCTTCTCGGATAAGGACTTAAAATAGAGGTCCAGTGTATAAATCTGGCTCGTGTGCACTTCAAAGAACCAATTGCATCTTTCGGAAGAGTAGGAGGTTACCCCGATGTTATGGTTCATTTCAGCCCCTGTCGTTGTGGAATGATGCTGTCTCTTATACACATCTAGATGTGTATAAGAGACAGGAACGTTCTTTTGTAAAACAATATTTACGTATTTATAACTTAATATACAATGTTCAAATACCGTAAAACCTCTAATTGAAGTCCTTTTTTTTTCTTTCTCGAGACGGGCTTCTTTTTTGAGATGGAGTTCTTTTCACTAGGGGGTGCTGTGTTATGGAGAGTAATGTGTGACCGGAAATGGTCTGCAGTCAGTTGGTTGTTACCATGCGCCAGTGATGTTGGAGTATATGGTACAGCAATATGAAACTATTAGGCCTAATGAATGAATAAAGTTCGGAGTTTGTCGGGTAGTGAAACTATTACTTCACATTTTAAGTGCTCCCTATATTCATAAGTGTAAGCTAAATTACGGTGATTTAATTCAATTAGCGAAGATATGGTCCGAGACAATTATTTCGAATCCCTCTTTCCAAGAGGGGATGCAAATGCTTTGTGAAAATGAGTACGCCGCGGTACTCATTTTCACAAAGAAATACACACAACTGGTTAGCTAACAATTATGTCAATGTTACATGAACACCTGGGAAGGAAGGTGCAATCACGTTGTTACCTAGCAAACGTCTGTACAGTATGGGGGAGGGGCTCCTGACAGTGGAATTATATGTGATAGAAAGTACACTCCTGCGTCCAGATATTAAAAAGCCCTAGAAAAAAAATATATAAAACATTTTGATTAAAATATACTAATGGTAGGTTTGAATAAGTTATTTAATCTAATTATTGTTGGTTTGCGTCGCACTAAAATTGTTGATTTTGTGAGTGGCGTGCATGAAAATCCAGTTGGACGTAAAGTACTTTGTGATATTAAAAAAATGTAAATAACGTGGAGGGAGTGTTAGTGATGGTAATTAAGATGTATAAAAGTGAATAGTTATGGTTAGTAGTAATAAATAATGCAAATAAAGTAAAGAAGTGTGTTTAAATGATATATAATAAATAAAATAACACGATATTACAAATCGTATTATAAATACACTCACAAATTAGTACCATGACTCATCAACTTCCGTCGATGAACTATATTTCATACGATTTATGATATCATGTTCCTATATACGTGGGACTTGGTGGTTATCCTCTTGAATACTTCACTTGCAGCTTCTACAGCATCCTGGGACAGTTTGTTCCATGTTTTTTTAAGGGAACGAATATATATATATATATATATTGGTGTATTTATGTATGTGTATATGTATATGTGTATACTATA